GGTATTGAAGGTTCCAATAAAGTTTCATTGAATTCCAGCCAGTAGTTGCAGAGAAGTAGCGCGGTAAAGATTTTTGCTCTATATGCATACTTCATAACTAATCAAGGGCCATAACTCTGAGTTTAAGTGTCTGACCCAAACAAAGCGACGATATGTGCATCTCCTCTTGGTATTGAATGTTCCCATAAAGTTTCGCTGAATTCCAGCCAGTAGTTGTAGAGAACTAGAGCAGAAACGATTTTTACTCCATATGCATAGTGCATAACTAATCAAGGGCCATAACTCTGAGTTAAAGTGTCTGACCGGAACAAGCTGACGATATGTGCATCTCCTCTTGGTATTGAAGGTTCCCATAAAGTTTCGTTGAATTCCAGCCAGTAGTTGCAGAGCAGTAGTGCGGAAACAATTTTTACTCTATATGCATACTACATAACTAATCAAGGGCCATAATTCTGAGTCAAAGGGTCTGACCGGAACAAGCTGACGATATGCGCATCTCCTCTTGATATTGATGATTCCCATAAAGTTTTGTTGAATTCCAGCCAGTAGTTCCAGAGAACTACTCCGGAAACGAAATTTTACTCTATATGCATACTACATAAGTAATTAAGGGCCATAACTCTGAGTTAAAGGGTCTGACCGGAACAAGCTGACGATATGCGCATCTCCTCTTGATATTGATGATTCCCATAAAGTTTTGTTGAATTCCAGCCAGTAGTTGCAGAGAACTACTCCCGAAATGAAATTCGGATGGACGGACGGACAACGCCAAAACTATATCCCCCTCCCGATTCCATCGGCGGGGGATAACAATCTTGGTAGAGGTTCACTACACAATATTTCATGCAAAATATCTAACCTCTAGCCTTTGTCAATTTCGAGAAGATGATTTTTAAGTTTTTACTATATACATGTACATATAGGGAAATCCTACGACCCCTTTAAAACTAAAGTTATAGTAAAAAATAACATTTTTCAAGTAAAAAAAGTCTAAGTTTATGGGGAGATAATTCTTGCAATATTGGTGCTAGAGTTATGAACCTTGTCCCATAACATGTGGTTAATACTAAGGAACATATATTTGAAGTATGAACTTGATCCCTTTAGAAATAAATAAGTAACGTGAAAAATAATATTTTTAAGGAAAATTCTAAGTTCAAGGGGAGATTAATCTAAAACTAGAACTGTCTCTATCATGGCTTGAATACCCCCGCATACCACTTTGTCAGAATCAACAGTGGCCATTTAGAGCTCAAGGACAACCTCCCTGCCAAATCTGAGGTTACTAAGCCAGTGCATTGCTAAGTTATGAATTCTACATGCTTCAAATGTGAAAATGTCAAAATCAATACATTGCAGACAGGACATTCTTTAGCAATTGAGAAGAAAAGCTTTTTTTTTGTCAAGGTCCCTGTGACCTTGACCTTTGACCCAGTGACCTCAAAATCAATAGGGGTCACCTTATAGTCATGATCAACATCCATGCCAAATATGAAGACTGTGGGTCAAAGGAATCTTAAGTTAATGGGTGGACAAACTTCTGAAGTCAAAGTCCCTATGACCTTGACCTTTGATCCAGTGACCTCAAAATCAAAAGGGGTCATCTACTAATCATGACTAACCTCCATTCCAAATATGAAGACTGTGTGTCATAGGAATCTTAAGTTATTGGGCGGACAAGCTTTTTGAAGTCAAGGCCCCTGTGACCTTGACCTTTGACCTGGTGACCTCAAAATCAATAGGGGTCATCTACTAATCATGACTAACCTCCATGCCAAATATGAAGACTGTGGGTCAAAGGAATCTTAAGTTATAGGGCGGATAAGCTTTTTGAAGTCAAGGCCCCTGTGACCTTGACCTGGTGACCTCAAAGTCAATAGGGGTCATCTACTAATCATGACTAAGCTCCATGCCAAATATGAAGACTGTGGGTCAAAGGAATCTTTAGTTATTGGGCGGACAAGCTTTTTGAAGTCAAGGCCCCTGTGACCTTGACCTTTGACCTCAAGTCAATAGGGGTCATCTACTTATCATGACTAGCCTCCATGCCAAATATGAAGACTGTGGGTCAAAGGAATCTTAAGTTATTGGTCAGACAAGCTTTTTGAAGTCAAGGCCCCTGTGACCTTGACCTTTGACCTGGTGACCTCAAAGTCAATAGGGGTCATCTACTAATCACGACTAACCTCAATGCCAAATATGAAGACTATGGGTCAAAGGAATCTTAAGTTATTTGGCGGACAAGCTTTTTGAAGTCAAGGCCCCTGTGACCTTGACCTTTGACCTGGTGACCTAAAAATCAATAGGGGTCATCTACTAATCATGACTAACCTCCATGCCAAATATGAAGACTATGGGTGAAAGGAATCTTAAGTTATTGGGCGGACAAGCTTTTTGAAGTCAAGGCCCCTGTGACCTTGACCTTTGACCTGGTGACCTCAAAATCAATAGGGGTCTTCTACTAATCATGACTAACCTCCATGCCAAATATGACGACTGTAGGTCAAAGGAATCTTAAGTTATTGGGCGGACAAGCTTTTTGAAGTCAAGGCCCCTGTGACCTTGACCTTTGACCTAGTGACCTCAAAATCAATAGGGGTCATCTACTAATCATGACTAACCTCCATGCCAAATATGAAGACTAAGGGTGAAAGGAATCTTAAGTTATTGGGCGGACAAGAAAAAACCGCCGGACGGCCGGACGGATGGACAGACAAGCTGATTCCAGTATACCCCCCTTACAACTTTGTTGTGCGGGGGTATAAATATAAGTGCTAGTTATTAACCTTGTCACATACATGTGGTTGATGATAAGGAACATATATTTGAAGTATGAAGTTGATCCTTTAAAAAATAAAGTAACAGTAAAATATTGTATTTTTTAGGAATATTTTAAGTTCAAGGGGAGATAAATCTTGAAATATTGGTGCTAGAGTTATGAACCTTGTCACATAAGATGTGGTTGAAGATCAGGAACATATATTTGAAGTATGAAGCTGATCCCTAAAGACATAAAGAAGTAACAGTAAAAAATAGTATTTTTTAAGGCAAATTCTTAGTTCAAGGGGAGATAAATCTGAAAATATAGGTGCTACAGTTATAAGCCTTATCACATAAGATGTGGTTGATGATAAGGAACATATATTTGAAGTTTGAAGTTGATACCTTAAGAAATGAAAAAGTTATAATGAAAAATATTTTACTGCACCAAAACATAAATCTGAAATCTGGACGCGGACGCCGACACCAGGGCGAGTAGGACAGCTCTCCATAATTATGCTTCGTATAGTCAAGCTAAAAACAAAACTGATGTCTTATGTAATAAAATTTATGACATGATTGCTTATTTGTTTTTTTTTCTACTTCCAAAATTTAGGTTGAAGCTAAATGTTTCAGTAACGTGATGACAGGATGAAGAAGAAAATGGAGTAATTCTGTTGCTTAAAGGAAGAAAAGAATACAAGGAAAGAAATATTAGGTAATATCTAATTTTCTATCAAAATTAGGTTCAGTTTGAATTAAGTATTTCATCCCTGCAAATTCTATAGGATTAATGGCTCCAGGAATTCAGCACATGTTTATAATGCTGTTGCTTCTTTAAAATAATTAATCAATAATAATTTTATGTTCTTTTGAAGTTTTGATTGCAATTAATGCAATAAATTTATACCTTTAAAACTACACAGTATACACATACATGAATTTCTGCCTGACTATTTGAGGGATCTTTTTAAGGTGTTACTTTTTCTTTTAGATTAATATATAAATTGAAAGTTGTCTATAGCATTTTCCTACACTACTTTCATATATTTTGCAGATAAACGATAAACAGTGCTACAGAGATACTATACGAAGAGTGGAAATTTGTATTACAACGTGGAAATATCAAACAAGAATGACTTTTAAAATGTATTTAATTGTATGAAAATCAAATACTTATATGTGAAACAAAATTCTCAATTACTTATCATTTTGTCAAATATTATTGATAAAAGTTTATAAGAAAATAGTCAAAGATGCTCAATTCAGCCTTTAAGTTCATCAAATTAGTTTGTTTGCTATGAGCTACTTGTGATCACCTATTATTCTTAAATACATATAATGCTCAGAATGTGATGAAATTTTAAGAATATTTTCAGATGCTGCCAGCTGGTTATAAAATAAACAGAAATCTGGGTGGATTTTAGTTTTAATTTCAGGGTGGGATTTGCAAAATTTTGGGGCGGGATTTACAAGAGGAAAAAAAGTCTGGCCTGACTTTTTAAACAGAAATCAGGGTGAATGATGGCTTATTTAAATATTCAAATTAATCCCACCCTGAAATTGCTCTAAATTTAACCTGAAGTAAATCTATTTTTAAAGATCTGTGTAAGTGAAAATTCTGCCCTGGATTTCCATTTCAGGGTGGGTTTTTTTCTGGCTCATTTAAATATTTTGTGGAATCCACCCTGAAAACACTATATATTGTATACTAAAAAATCTAAAAATAGATTTCTGTCTCCTCTATAGTCAACTGAATATCTTAAAAACCTGGCTGGGAATACATTTCTTATCCCATGTCAAATCAGGGTGTAGTCAGGGTAGGCAGGGTAGGGTGTGCGAAGTTATTTCAAAATCTCTCAATGTATAACAAAGTTACAGTCCGGACACGAATGAAGTGGGACAGACGGACAGACAGACGGTGCGATTATATCATGCCTCCCTTTGGGGGCATAAAAATAGGGCATATTTTGTTTGAGGCCACAAAAAGGGGGTTGAAAAGGCGTGAAAAGACGTCTGTTAAATGGCCCTTGGCTCTTAGGCTAATTTCTATATCCACCTTTTTTCTTTGAAAAGGCGTGGTAGAAAGGACACCTAAGGAATATTCCTGTCAAGTTTGGTAAAAATTTACCTTCTTAATGATAAGAAGACGTTGTTAAGATAGTGGAAAACAACAAATAACATAGGGAAGGGACGGACAGCTTGCCAGCGCAAAAGCTAAAACCAAAACAAAATCTTACGTCTAATCTATTATTAGGAGGGTTGAACAGATCGAAACAGCTTGGACCTTGATGCTTCTCTGGACCCCATAGTTCTATTGCATAGCAAAATGGAATCTGTAAATAATAATATATTAGAAATGCTAGTGCCATGCAAAGATACCCTGATACCTCTTTACCAGTAGGCTTTTATGTTTAAACATTACACCGACAAAGAGATAGCTCTAGACAACAAACGCAAATAAGATTGCATTTGTGAAAATTGCTATGCCACCACATTAATACAACGCTAAAAAGTAGTTTAGGAACAGAAGATTTTTTTGTTTCTTTACAATTAAACTTTGCTATAAGACAGGAAATCACTTTGTCAAAATCTAGGTCACTTGATATCAAAGTTGAATTTACATGTTAATCTGTGCACATGGTTCAAAATTCATTGCTGTACAAAGTAGGTCACATCTTCAAAATCTAGGTCACCTGATATCAAAGTTACATCAAAAACTGTGCACAAGGTCCAAATTTCAAAGCCGTGCAACAAAGGACAAGAAAGTAGGTTACTGTCCCCTCAGGCAAGGCAAAATTTTGACCCAAGGGTTTAATTCAAACAATCTTGATACAGGTCCACCAAACAACGTTTCATGTCAAATATCTAAGCTGTATCTTTCTCAAATTCAGAAAACATTTGTTTTAAGTTTCTGTTTTAACTATGTGTTCATAATGAAAATCAATGCCCCCGGGCAGGGCCAATTTTGACACCAGGGGCAAAATTTGAACGACCTATTGATGATATCATATAGCAAACATCAAAGCTCTAAGCTTTGTACCTTCAGACAAGACGATTTTTAAAAAAAAATTTTACTATATGTACATAGTGAAATCAATGACCCCCGGGGCGGGGTCAATTTTGACCCCAGGGCTATAATTTGAACAATCTTGGTAGAGGTTCACTTTGCAAAGTCTCATGCCAAATATCTAATCTCTGGGCTTTGTCACTTCAGAAAAGATGATTTTTTAAAGTTTTTACTATATAAATTATATAAGGAAAACTATTGCCTCTGGGGCAGGGCAATTTTCGCACTAGGGGCATAATTTAAACAACTTTGGTAGAGGACCAATAGATGATATAATATACCATATATATATAAGCTCTAAGCCTTGTACCTTCTGACAAGAGGTTTTAAATTTTTTACTATATGTGCATAGTTAAAATCAATGACCCCCGGGGCGGGTCCAATTTTGACCACAAGGCTATAATTTGAACAATCTTGCTAGAGGTTCATTACACAATGTTTCATGCAAAATATCTAACTCATTTGCCTTTGTCAATTTCGAGAAGATGATTTTTGTATACATTGCTTGCAATGTATACAGAGTTATAGCTGCATTTCAGAAATTAATACGGATTGACTGTTTTGCTAAACAACATCCACCTTCGGATGAAACCTCAATAAAAGTAGATCCTCATTTTGCAGGATTGTCACATTAAGATCAGATTTTATTAAAATATTGTTTGCATAGTGATAAATAAGCTTTGAAAGTTCAAAACTATGCACTTTCAGTTTAAAGAAACATTTCTAAACATGAAAGCAAAAAAATATGAAAATTACTATTTCATTCATAAAAGCATTGTGTCACTCAGTAATGGACAGAAAAATTGCCAAAAAATTGTAAACACAAGTTATATAGCTTGACAAAGTCGTGGCATTTTGTAACTGTGAAAAATATAAGTTGCCAAGTCATTGCTCTGACTTGTGAAGTTGAAAAATATTTAACTTCATGCAAGTTATCTTCCTACCAAATATGAAATACATCTGTCATTAAATAAAGGCTGTATGGGCAAAAGTGTAAAAATCTATTTTGAGCACTGGTGACCTTAACCAAACTGACCCCTAACTCTATCCAAAAGAAGAATACCATGTAAGTTATCTTCCTACCAAATATGAAATACATCTGTCAATAAATAAAGGCTGTATGGGCAAAAGTGTAAAAATCTATTTTTAGCACTGGTGACCTTGACCCAACTGACCCCTTACTCCATCCAAAGGCAGAATACCATGCAAGTTATCTTCCTACCAAATATGAAATACATCTGTCAATAAATAAAAGCTGTATGGGCAAAAGTGTAAAAATCTATTTTTAGCACAAGTGACCTTGACCCACTGATCCCTACCCCAATCAAAAAGATGAATACCATGCAAGTTATCTTCCTACCAAATATAAAATATATCTGTCACTTAATAAAGGCTGTATGAGCAAATGTGTAAACATCTATTTTTAGCACTGGTGACCTTGACCCAACTGACCACTAACTCCATCAAAGTTTATGTTTCTATCAATTATAAATAACACCTGTCTATTGAATAAGGTCAATACACCTGTAAAAATCTATTTTTAACATTTGTGACCTTGACATTGGTAACATTGACCTTGACCCAAATGACCCCTTACTACACCCAAAGAAGGAGGACCTCCCTTGGCATGTTTGTATTTAACTAAGACATCACATAAAATATAAAGGCTGTATGAGCAAAAATGTTTATATTTATTTTTTAAACCAGTGACCTTGACCATGACCTTAGAGACCGCTTACTCCAGAAAAAATTAGAGGACCATCAAAGGTATCCACATACTAAATATGAAAGATATCATTAAAGAAATTAAATCCAACTTGCCGAAATAGGTTAACCAGACAAGGCCCTATTTTCAAAGTGAAAAAGGGAAATAACTGGGAAATATGGATGACACAGTTATATAACTTGGCAATATCATGTACTTTGTATTGATAAGTAAGTGTGGAAATTATAAAGCCATTAGTATAGATAGAACTTAAGATATTTTCAACTTGCCGTTTTAGGTTAACCATTATTCATTTGCTAAGTGCTGAAAAGGGCAATAACTTGGTAAATATGAAAGCCAGAGTTATGTAACTTGCCCAGATCATGTACTTTGTATTGATTAGTAAGTGTGTAAGCTTTGAAGCCATTGGTACAGGTAGAACTTAAGAAAAATCCAACTTGCTGTTCTACGTTAACCTCGTACGGACAGACGGACGGACGGTTCAATCACTATATGCCCGGGGGCATAAAAAATATTTCTATCCATATTCATCATTCCTGGACCTCCATCCATTTGATGAATTTCTCCAACTGGTAAATTTTTCACCTTATTATGTTCTGTTTGTTAATATAAAAGAATTTTGTTTATGTTTATATACAGCTAGAATAGTCTGTAATGACTAAGATAAACAGATAAGAACAAACTATTTAGTAAACATGAGTTACATCCCCTCAAATGGAGATAAAGATGAAACCCATAAGAAATTGCCATGTCTGACAGACAGCAAAATTATAAAATTCTGCAGGCTCAGTTTGATTAGGCCTATTAGGAGGTAGTGGTAATAACTGTGGGTCAAAATTTAAATGATATCATTTTCAAGGGATGTTTCTGATATGATTTACTTTTAATAATGGGCCATTATCAATGAATGTTTCTTTGACTTCTATGCCCATGTATAATAGATTATAGACATTGCCAGCTAGATAGCTCAGCTGAGTGAGTCAGTACAGCCTACATACATGTATAATATTCTGATTCAGGTTTGATTCCGTTCAAACTGCACATTTTTTCTCACCCTGTGATATTTTCACCCTGTAAGTAACTGTTACTTTTAGGGTCCAATATTTATATGTTTATGATAGTACATAACTGAATCATAAGTGTTCCAATGAAAAAGGACAAATTTCAATATGCTGGGGATTATAAATATGAGACTTAAAATGTTTAAGCTGTAGAGCTGCTGTATGGTATTCCAAGGGTTCTGGGTTTTTTGGTAGTGCTGAGGTATGATATTCTGAGTGTCTCTGGTTTGAGTTTTAGTCAGGCTGCATTTTATTTTCTCACTCTTTGATATTGATAAATATTTTCAGCTCATTATTGGCTGGACTGCATATATTAATGATTTATTTGTATTAAATCAATATTGTTAAATATTTAATTATTGTCTATATATGTGACTTTATTTTTGATAAGGCATTGTAACAGTACTACTTCTTAATTTGACCTTTTGTGTATTAGGGGGATAAGCCCTTAATTAACTCCTTACCAGTAAGTTTTATTTTGCATGATGATGATAGCTTGAAAGGATTTAGCTAAATAAAATACTACATGAATCATTTTTTTCCTATTGGATTGTAAAATATTTATTGATTGTCAAAAAACTATATGGAGTTCTCCTCATTGACATTAAACAGTCCCAGTTGGCCATACATGCAGGAACTTGCAGACCATGAGACAGGGTGGTCTGTACCAAGACAAATCCGATATCGAGACATGGTGAACAGGACAGACAGTGATGTTCAGATCCCCCACTCAGAAAGGAAGTACACTCAAGGTCCTAGTCTTCAATTACTTCATTTGCTTACTTGGAGTAAAGGTGCCGGAAACAATAGTATGGTATCACAAAAAGCACAGACTGTAATAAAAGTCAAACCAAAAAAGATACTATAAACTGAATTCATAGATTATATAAAAGAAATTTATTAATTCTTTAAGTTTATAGTTAACATAAAAAAAAAGATATTAAGTATTTAATTTTGATATATAGCATATTAACACATATAAAGTGCATTATGCCATATAAATTTCAACTTAGTGCTTAAATACTTTCTGATGCACTCAGTAAATCCACATGCTTTAAACATGATTTACTAATCTTTGGATTCCCACACTCCTCCCCACCTAGCTCCAATGAGATCCACTTGGTTGACCATACCATGTACCATACCTCATATTGTTTGATTACAGTTTGGAATGAAAAAATGAAAGTTTATTCTAAATATTATAAAGCTTTTATTAAATTTCACAAGGCTTTCAACACATCAACAATGTAATTGTCATTTTATTTTTTGAAAATGTGTTGGACTGCTGGTCTGATGCATGTAGATGCTGCGTTGGCATATAGCGATTCCCTCTTTGTGTGTGTGTGCATGCATGCGTGCATGTGTGTGTGTTTTATACATAATATGTAAACATCTTTTGAAAACATCTTGTCCAATTTCAACCAAACTTGACAGGGTTGTTCCATGAGTGAAGGGCTTCCAAAGTTGTTCAAAGACTTAAATAAGGCCTAGAGCATAGATATTTTGCATAAGGCATTGTCTGGTAGACATTCACAAGATTTTCACATTATACCCCGGGGGTCAAATTAGCCCTGCGCTAGGGTTCATAGATTTTCCTGATATGTATGTAGTTAAAACTTAAAATCTTCTCCTCTGAATTGACAAAGGCTAGAGGTTAGATATTTGTCATGAAACATTTGGTAGTGAACCTCTACCAAGATTATTCACGTTACAGCCCAAGGGTCAAAATTAGCCTCACCCCTGGGGTCATATATTAAAGTTTTCCTTATATTTATATAGCAAAAACTTTTTAAAAAATCTTTTTATCAGAAGGTTTAAGGCTTAGAGCTTAGATACTTGGTAAATAATATCATCAGTAAGTCCTTTACCAAAGTTGTTCAAATGTTGCCCCTAGTGAAATAGCACCAGGGTGTCATAGGTTTTCCTTAAATGTATAAACATGTATAGAAAAAAAACTTAAAAAATATTCTCCTCTGGATTGACAAAGGCTAGATGTTTGATATTTGGCATGAAACCTTTACCTGTGTAGTAGACCTCTATCACTATTGTTCAAATTAAGCCCTGGGGTCAAAATTGGCTCTGCCAAGGAGTCTTCTTAGGTTTTCCTTATATGGTATGTATATAGTAAAAACTTTAAAAAAATCTTGTCTGAAGGTACAAGGTTTACCAGGCACCAGGGTGTCTTAGGTTTTCCTTAAATGTATATACATGTATAGAAAAAAACTTAAACAATATTCTCCTCTGAATTGACAAAGACTAGAGGTAAGATATTTGGCATGAAACATAGTCTACCTCTACCAAGATTTTAATTTTAGCCCTGGGATAAAATTTGCCTTGTGCGAGGGTTGGGGGAGGAAGTCATTAATTTTCGTTATGTACTTGTAGTAAAAATTTAAGAATGTACTTGTAAGGCTAGAGCTTAGGGCTTTGATGCCTAAATTTTGTCAAGTACAAATGCTTTTATTTTGAATCAATAATTGCACTATGGAGTGCATATTTTCCAGTGAATGTGTTTTGCATGAAAACAAAAATGTTCACCTAACTTTTAAGTCTTGCTGAATGCTTCAATACCACATTTTAATAGACTACAAACCCGCATATTGGTTTTGTTTTTAAAGTAATAGATAAAAACACTGAAGACTCTATTTTACTATTTCAGTATTGAATACTGCAGATAATAAACAGGTCTTTGCAAACTGATTTCTGTATTGCTCTTCAGTTTCGCAAACCATATAGTCTTGCCTGGAAAAACACAGCACTAGTCTGTAGGAACAAAACCTCTTTCTTGTCCTATTAATAACTTGAGAAGAAATCAGCCTAGATTTCTGTTCGGAATCGACTGTAGCCAGAAGATGACTTCTATTGAGTTCAGTAGATTAAAATCACATGGTCTTGATAACACAAATATTGTCAAGCAATGTATACCTCAGTGCTAGCAGCGCTTTGATTTATCTTGGTAGAGGTTCACTACCAAAATATCTAACCTCTAGCATTTGACAATTTCGAGAAGATGATTTTTTAAAGTTTTTACTTTATGCATATCAGGAAAACCTATGACCCCAAGGGTGGGGCTAATTTTGACACTAGAGGCAAAATTTGAACATTTTTGGTAGAGGACCTATAGATGATAATATACCAAATATCAAAGCTCTAAGCTCTGTTCACATAGTGACAATCAATGACTTCCGGGGCAGGGCCAATTTTGACCCCAGGGCTATAATTTGAACAATCTTGGTAGAGGTCTACCCAACAATGCCTCATGCAAAATATCTAAACTCTATGCCTTGTGGATCTTTACAAGAAGATTTTTTAAATTTATTCTTATAATTCCTTTTGTTTGCCATGGCAACCAGATTTCTGCATGGAATGAAATTCTTTGAACAGCTTTGGAAGCCCTTCAGCCAAGGATCAATCCTGCCAAGTTTGGTTGAAATTGGACTAATGATTTTTCACAAGAAGATTTTTTAAGTTCACTATATAATCTATACAACACACATACACAAACACACATACATACATACAAACACACACACAGGTGAATCGCTATATGCCACCGCCTCGCAGATGCTACGGTGGCATAAAAAATTAGATCCCTTGACTGGGATTTGAACCCCAGTCCTCTCACTTCCTAAATGAGCATGTTACCCCTGGACCTCAAGGAAGTTATATGAAAAATGTCTGAAGCAAACCAAATGGTAAACCTGTTGTTTAACACTGATATAAATAATCTAGCAAAAATTTTATTGCCCAAACAGTCCAACATGTATATAATATTTCAATACTTGACAGTCAAATTTATTTGTGTAATACGGCCTGAAATGTGCCGATAATCAACATCGCTAAAAATAGCGCCTTGTTTACGTGGATTCAATTATCGGGTGCTTAACTTATGAGACTATTACTTATGGTAGAAATTGATTATTGATCGTCGACTGCCCTAAATTCGCCCCTGTACTTAAGAGTCAACATCCTTACTTTATTTTTTCAGAAAGTCTAAATTAGAAATGTTCATTAAGCGGCATTTAATTCCGATCACAATAATCCGAAGCTTTACGGAAATAGCTGAGCAATTTTTATTGATAACAAGAGCTGTTGGAGGACAGCAATGCTTGACTATTTGGTTACTAAGAGTTGCCACAAGGATGTTTCATTGAGTATAAAAAGGGGCATAAAGATGTAAATATGTAAATCAGTATTATGGGACCTGTGCCAATTATGTTAAAAAAATCACAGTGAAAATGTATGTTAAGTTTCATTCCATTCCCTTCAGTAGTTAAGGAGATACCAGCTTACAAGCAAAAAGTTAACCATGAGTTTCATTGAGTATAAAAAGGTGCATAAATTTGGAAATAAGCAAATCAGAGCTGTCCGATGACAGCATGCTCCATAGTTATCAAAATAATGGCATTGGACTAATGGAAAGGACAGGGATTGAATACATGTCTACCTTTTGACAAACCAGCATTCTACCTGTGCGCTAGCCTGGCTGGTAATTAGTGAAAATGCATTTTATATTTATAAGAATATTATTTGTTTGTAGTACTGCAAGTGAAAATTGAAATATTTATTCAAAAAGATGCAGTTATATATGAAACAACTGGTACTTTTTATTAGTATTTATGAATATACAAAATGGAAGATGCCATTATAAGCTTAAGTTTCCAATAAGAATCTGAATATCATAAAAGCAAATAAACATTGAACAAACTAAGCAAAAACACTTTTGAACAAAGTACACTTTCGGTCAAATTGCAATGTGTAAAGGTGTCTTAATAAAGATGTGAATAATTATGATAGCAAAAGTACTTCTGTACACAAGAGTACACATTAATTATAAATAAAAAAGGCCTCTACCTGTGAACAAAAATGTGTAAAAAGATTAAACAAGAGACACAGCCGGGCGGGGGCAACGCTCGACTTTTTACTTTTTCTAAAAGCAAACAAGGTAATGTTTAAACAAATCTTAACGTTTCCTTTTTATAAATTTAATCGGTCTGTCTTGTCAAATTAGTTTTGTCAAAGTATGAATCCTTTCCATATATAACCGCATGTGCATTACAAAAGAAAACTAGAATTGTGTCCAAAGGACACGGATGCCCCCACTGTGCAGATGTGCTCATAAACAAGAGCATGCATATCTGTATTTAAGATTTTTATGTGGAACTTTTTCATTCCACTGTTTCATTTCTGTACATATACCTAAAATGATCTACAGGTAACCTTATGTACATGTTAAATGAAATTACAAATGTAAAATTTATATGTTCAATTATTTATATCGATGGTATATAGTGAAAAATCAACAAAGGGCCATAATTCTGTTAAATTTGGTCGCAACAAAA